CTGAGTGTGTGTGAGCATAATCCGAGGCTGTCTCAGAAAATCTGTACCTCTGAGTGATGGATGCTTTACCTGACTGGCTTCCACCTGCAAGTGGAAACTGTCTACCTTGTTTCTGCAGTGCATAACCTGGTTTCTGGCTTGTGATGAGTCCTTCGAAAGGATGGATTAGACAAGTGAATTAATAAATAGTGATCCTAATTTACCAGCTAAACTGCTTCAGGAGTATTGAATGCCTGTCTGGGCATCACTTTTTCTTCTTACTACAAAATACCTCTTCCAGACAAAACTAAAAATACTTATTATTATTCAGATGCAGCAAATTAAATGAATTGATGTGGTATGTTTGTGTGTGTGTGTATATGTGTGTCTGTCCGTCTGTCTGTCATTCTATGTAACAGAATAGCAGTTTGTCCTTAGCTTTTTTATCAAATTTATGCTAACCGTCTTCCCACCTCCCCTGTGAATTTTTGCTACATCACCATTGATTGCTTGGACTCCTAGTTCACTGTTGTTCAAATTAGTGGCAAAACCCTTTCAATTTCTGCATGTGTCTGAGACAGGCCTCAGGGTAGATACAGCGTTGGCACTCTGACAAACAATGCTTCAGTGACTATTCTTATAGTTAAATCATTTTCCTATTTTACTAAATATATTCCCATAAAATAGAATGGCTGAATCAAGAACTGTTTGGGTTACCCTTCAGGAAGTTGGGACCAGTGTCTGCTTCTGCCATCAGTATGAGGACCAGGCCCTCAAGCCACAGAGCCCTGCCACAGGGGCCACGGTGACCTGGTCTGTTCAGTTTCATCTCTCTGGCCCCTGGTACAACACCAGTCCCACAGAGTCCATAGACAACCTGTCTCTTCTTGAGAGGAACTCTTCTTTGCTTGCTGTGGATACCTCTTATTCTTCCTTCTAGCCCTTGCCTCCTGCATCATCCATCTCAAAATAGTAAAGTCATGATTTGTGTGATTTGAAGCTGAGCCCAGTAAGTCCTCAACCTTTTCTGGTAGCCAGCATTGGATTTTATAAAGATTAGAAGCAAGGGCTCCCAAAGAAAGCTCTGGATTTGTGTGGCTGCATCCCTGGACTTGCCCTAGCCTTCTCTTTCTCATCTGAGAACTGGGTCTATTCCCTTACTGCCTGGTACAGTTCTGATGAGGTGTAAGTGAGATGTGCTACAGGAAGGGAAGAGGTTGCAGCCCCACAAACAGTGGATGTCCAGCCGTTCCTGCTTAGGGTGCAGTCATAAGAAGTGAACTCATACTGTGTGCCGGGCACAGTTTTTAGTGCTGGATGCCAGGGCTTGGCACACTGCTACTCATGGGCCAGGTCTCACTTATTGCCTGAGTTGTACAACCCACAAACTCAGAGTGGTTTCTTTTTTTTCCTCTTTTAATGATGAGGAAAAAAAACAAAGAAGGATATTGTTTTGTGATGCATGGAAATGACTTGGATGCAAATGGAAATTTCAGGGTCCATAAATAAAATAAAATGTTATTGGAACACAGCATGACCTTTTATTAGTCTATCGTCTCTGACCACGTTCACTCTACCAATGGTGGAGGTGAGTAGCTGCGATACAGGCCAAATGGTCCATAATACCACGATGCTTACAGAAAATGTTTGCCTGCAGAAGCTCATCTGATCCTGCATAGTGCAGGCTTGTCCTGTTGCCACCCAGAATTTATATACATGTGGAATGAGGTTCAGAGAGGATAGAAAATTTCCACACATAGCATGAACATAGTAGAGTTCAGTTTGGTTCCCAGAACTTGGCTCTTGATTCTTGGGCCAGAGGACAGGATATTGGTCTTTAGTGGTGAGGCAGATGAAGCAAGAAGAGGTGAAGTCCTACATTAATGAGTGGTGGAACCAGGATTTAGAACCACGTTCTGTTGTCCCTTAGCATTCTTGGCCTTTCTCTTATGGGCTCTTTCTGCCTCTCCCAGAATAGACTGCTAAACCGAGAGCCAAACCCACAGAGGTAAGCAGCATGTCCTTACAAATGCAGCCTGGTAAGAACAGAGAGACAGCAGGACAGGATCAGCTGTGGCACATGCCTTCTGTAACATGCAAGCTTAATGATTTTGTGGAACAAGTGAATGAGCCTGGTGAACAGTTTGTTGACCCTGGGAATAAGGCAGGGGGTCCTGGGGAAATTTACTAGGGAGAGCAGCAAATTCTAGAGCCTTCTCATGGGAAGGAGACCTTCTAGTTATGCTCCCTGGGGATCTGGGGCTCTTGGGTCACAGAACCAAGCATTTCCTCCATTAAAGTTCCCTGCTCTGGCCTCTCCACCCATCACAACTGTCTCCACTTTTGTGCATTCTAGAAGTTCTTTTGAGATAGAAGTCACATATAATTTGTCAATCTGACAACATGTTGGTCACTTCAAAAAGGAAGTCCATATCCTTTAGCTATCACCTCCTGATCTCCCTTCTTCTCCTAGTTCTAGGCACCTGTTAATCCACTTTCTGCCACTATGCATTGGTCCATGGTAGACAGTTCAAGTAATTGAAATCATACAGTATTCTGTCTTCTGTGGTTAGCCTCTTTCACTTAGCATGATGTCTTCAAAGTTCATCAAGGCTGTCAATATATCAATACTTACTCCTTTTTTTATGATTGAAAAACATTCCATTGTGGATCTATCCCATTTTATTTGTTCATTCGTTTGGATTTGGGCTGTTTCCATCTTCTAGAATATATCGCTCTGAAGCTTTGGAGTTTCCCATACAGGTTTTTGCATGGACTTGCATTTTCATTTGTTTTACCTAGGCATCTGCCTAGGAGTGGAATTGCTGGTTCCTACGTAACTGTGCTCCCTTTTGAGGAACTAGCAGGCTGTTTTCCAAAGCATAGCACTGCTGTACTCCCCGCTAGAAGCCGCTAGTTCTTGCTCGTTACTCATGCTCACCTTAAACATACAACATGATTCCGTTTATATGAATTTCTAGAGCATGCAAAACTAATGGACAGTGTTAGAAATCAGCATATCAGTTGCCTCTGAAACAACTGGGAAAAGCACAAGACCAGGGGCAGGTGAGGGACGTGTGTTTTGGTGGCTTGGCACATTTGGTAAATGCATTGGCTAAAACTCAAATTGAGTGTTTCACCGTGTACAAATTGCCTAAACTTTTTTAAAAAAAATTCATACAGATGAAAAAAGTTGGGTGGAAGGGAAGAAGAAACAACCATATATTCCAATCATCTCGTGGCATAACTGGCTGCTTTTATCTTACCCACCTCCCCTTGGACACCGGGCCTGTATGTCTGGCAGCCAAGGCCAAGTGTAAAAAGACTCTTAATTGAAGTGATTAATTATGTCTCAATGGGAAGCCTCGTTAACACCGGGGGGAGCAGAGGAGGCTATTTTCCACTCTCTCAACTAGGGGATGCCTGAAAGGGGTTGGGGGGGGGGGCTCCTGTGGTGGCAGAGGGGCCATGGATGGTTGTGCCTGAGGCCCTGTGTGTAGCCCAGCTGCATTTCCCTTTGGGTTATGATAAAGATTTTTGCATCATTTTCCATTAGCTGCTATAAAACCTATTCTTCTTTTTTTTTTTTCTGTTTTTCAAGGCCACATAATGCACCAAAATAAAATGTTCCAGTAGAGCCCTCTCGTCCTTCCTTTATGCTTTAGTGACAGAGAAGCAGATAATAGGAAATGAACAAAAAAGAAGTGAAAGGTTCCCACCCCTTATTAGAATCTGCAAAGAAATGTAAAGTCTGACATAAATTCGCAGAAGATTAGCACTGAGCAAGCACCACTAATTACCCATGTTAAAATCAATATTACATAATTTTAACAAAATTGTATAAATTATACCATCTTCCTTGTAGACTAGAAAAATAAGTATTTGGCAAGAAAAATGTATAGAAATATAAAATATCACTTGGGTAAGGAAGGGATTGTAAATTCTTTTTCTTACTTATTCCTCACTTGTGATTTATTTTTTCCAATGACCATTTATTGCTCATGAATTCAACTGTTAAGAACTAATTTGGGGTCTTCTTTTTGACTGTAGAGATCAGTTTCTTAGGCTTTTCCTGTCTGAACAGATTTCCACCTCATGTTCCTGTGCACTAATACCTAGAGCTGATGAAATTTAAGACCACTGGGCATTGAACATGAACCTTGAGTTCAGCCAGGTCAGAGTTTGAAATAGGGCAAGTCACAGATCTTTTCTTTGTCTTGGTTTCCTCATTGAAAGACTGGAACAGAAAATGCTCTCCCAGTGGATTGACGGATGAGACATATGGGGGACATCCCCCCAATCCTACAGTACTTGGCTCCTACAAATCATTGACTTCTTCTTTTCCAAATAACCTCCTTTAGCCTACTACTTTCCTGGTGCCTTGGAAGCCAGCACTCAGTAGTACAGTCTAGATAACTTCTGGTCACTGGGCTTCGTCTCTAACCATTGCACAGAGTTAACACACATGCACATGACATTTGGGTATGTGTGTGTGAGCGCACGTGTGCATAATACATGCATGCATGTTTGTGTGTGGTCTGAGACAGGGACAGGAAGATAAATACTGAGTTCTGTAATCACATGTGGAATCTAAAACAGTTGATCTCATAGAAGCAGGGAGTAGAATGAAGGTTACCAGGGGCTGGTTGTAGAGGGGAGGGATTAGGGAGATGTTGATCAAAGGATACAAAATTTCAGTTAGGTGGAAGAAATAAGCTCAAGGAAACATTCTAACTATAATTCTTGAGAAATGTTAAAACAGTGGATGTTGTGTTCTTGCCACAAATATGGTAACTGTGTGAAGGAATGCATAGGTTAATTAACTACAGTTGTCATTCCGCAGTGTATGTGTACTGCAAAACATCCTGTTGTACCCTGCCTACAGTTTTAAGTCAGTTTAAAAAACAAATTACACAAAACCTCCCTCCCTTGGGTGAGTTTAGACTCCTGACTGATGGAGCTAGTATCCATCACAAACATCTGGGTGACTGCACTATTTCTGTTCCCTCCTGCAGTGCGGATCTCTGGCAGCCATGCCTGTTTTCAAGCAGTGCCCAGTCCTGTGTTGGAAATGTTAACTCTTCCTGCAAATCAGGATGGTGAATGCAGTCAGATGGAGTGTGGCTGGAGGAGGGGCAGATGGTGAGTCATGATTTGCAAACTTGTTTACCGTAGTAGAACACAGGGGGCACAAATGAGCAGAAGCACATTTGCACACAGGCAAAGCAAGAACCACTATTATCCTTTCTCTTTTCTTCTTCGCTTCCCTCTGCAACTCTCCATCCTCCTAAATTGCCTTCCCCACACTCTTTTCTCAATTCCTTTTTAAGGCATCAGTTTTCAGTCTTCAGTTTGCAAATGATCATCTCAAAAAATTGCTAATATGCACATACCTGGACCTTCACCAGATTTTCTAACTCAATGGGTGTGGAGAAGGGGCCTGGCAATAGGTATTTTTACCAAACTTCTTAAATAGGCCCATTTGTCCAATTGGGTTCCTAGAATCGAACCGTGTTTCAAGAAGCCAGAAACAAGTATGACCGATAAGATGATGACCTTTTTTTGTTTTAGTGGTACTTGGCTTTGAACTCAGTCCTCACGATTGCTAGGCAGGCGCTCTACCACTTGTGCCAGCCCTTTTTTTTTTTTTTTGTGCTAAGTATAAAATGATTAGTTTAAAAACACATAAACAGAACTGCAAAACGGAAATAGTTATGTGCTTTTGTAGAGCATTTGGTCACCTCATTCATTCAGCTGTAAGAGCTGAAATGTGGGGATACATGTTAGTGCAGTATACTGTGTGGCGAGGCTGGAACTGTCACCCTGGATCAATTGATAGGAGCTACCCTCCCAGGGATCTGTTATTTTCTTTCTGTTCTATTTTCAAGAGGCTCCTTTCTCTGAGTACACAGCAGCCTGTCCTCACTCCAGGTCTTTATCCCTGGATGCTGTAAGCGCCACCCACCCACCTCTGGCCATGTTTCATGTGAGGCTCTCAGAGGACTTTCGGTAGCAGACCACAGTGACTCCTGCTCTCCAGCGCCCAGTGCCCTTTGACGATCTTTTGTTTTGTTGTCTTACATTTCATTGCTCCATGATTATCTGACCTTCTTCCTGTTAAAGGCTTGACTCCATACCTAAGTAAAGCACTCCAGGAATGGCCTCAGTTTTATAACTCCTCACCACCACCACAGAGTCTTGGTAATAGCAGGCACTTAGGAAATAAGTTTTCATGGAATTGGATGTGCAGGGCTGGGGAGAAGAGAGGGAAATCTGAAATGGAGTCATCTGCGTCTCTTTTATTGTCTAGCCCATCCTGCCTCCCACCTACTAGCCTAGACCTCCCCTCCATTGCTGACCTAGTACAAGTGTTTAGGTCTTCTTGGCGTTGCGATGCTTCTGATGGAGATGTGACTGCTGTGGCAGCCCAGTGCGAGCTGTCACTGTGCTAAGCCCAGGACAAGGAACACACAGGATGGCTTGCCAGGATGAGAGCAGGCAGCAAATCTGTGCTAAGGGACTTTTCATGGGGATTGATGTTAGGCTGAGCCAAAAGGAACTGTGGGATTGAACCAGACAAGAGCCAGAGGAGAACTGTTTGTAGGTTCCTGCCCATGTGAGGGCCTGGGAGCCAGTGCTAGACCAGGGATGAGCAGGAGTGACCAGCAACCAACAGTGGGGCTGGACAAGCGATTCAGATCCTCCCCACCTCTAGGAAGGAGCTCAACCTTATCCTTACCCCTAAGAGATGCCCCAGAATTTTTCTTTTATTGACACGTAATTATATGTATTTAATGGACTACAGTATAATAATTTGCATATAATGTATAATGACTAAATCAGGATAATTAGTATTTTCATTTCTTTAAACATTTGCCCTTTGTGTGGGAAACCTTTGAACTCCTGTCTTCTAGTTCTTTGTAAAATACATAGTAAATTGTTGTTAAGTTGTGCATAGTGGCATACACCTGTAATCCCAGCACTCAGGAGGCAGAGGCAGGAGGATCGAAAGTTCAAGACCAATCTGGGCTACCCTGTTTCAAAACCCCAAAACTAACTTGTTTTAACCTCTAATCTAACTTGTTTTAACCACCATGCAATAGGGCACCTACAGCTGCCCTGTAGGATACAAGGGACTGGTCGTGCTGTCCTTGTGCCCTCACATCTGTATTCTCTTTCTTTCCATCGCTTAATTTTCTGTTCTTAACACACATTCTTTGTGTTTATCTTATTTGAAAATCAATATAACCACACCTGTAAGAATTCAGAGCTCCCAAATCCCAGAGCCATACGTCCTCCATACTACAGCTCGTCCTCACTCCTCCCGTGCACATGGCTTGGAGAGATAAGCTCTCAGTGAAGAGGACTTTTGGTTTGTGGATTTCCATGCTGACATTCCTATTTTGTATTCCTTTATTTTTCCTTCTTCCTCAGGAGGAAGTGAACCTGAGGGTTTCTGGGAATCACAGTATCACTCACCAAAACAGGGCAACTGAGACGACTTGCTCCCAACAAATTACCAAAGATTACACTACTAGGTTTTGGAGTTTATTCTGAGCATCGGTAGGGAGCCTAGCATAGGCCTCCATTGCTAGTGGCAGCATAGTAGGTTGTTCTTTTGGGAAAATGTGTCAGGAGGCTTCAAAGCCTTACTTTAACCTGTACCCCATTTGTAAGTTTACTTAGAAGTCACATCCCAGAAAGGAGAAGGCTGTGTGCAGGAAGGGGTCATGTTGCTAGATGCATTTCGGGATGAAGTGGACCACAAGGAAGCATGATGAAGAGGAAGCACCTTAAGGAGAGAGATGACAGTCTGTGATGTGACAAGCTCAAAAGGCATGTATCTTCCAGGGATTATGGAAGGCCTATGTGTAGAGGGAGTCCAGCTCGTCATTAGATAGTGAGTTTTACCTACTTAGTATAAGAAAGTTGATGGTTTTCTCTTTCATTCTTTTCTTTACTGTCTCCTCCTTCTCTTTTTGAAACCTGCCTTATTCGTTTTAAAATTACTCATTGCCACAGAAGGAAAGAAAGAGGAGTATTTGTGTGCAGGGGCCCTATGTGCCCCGAGAGTGACAGTAGTGTGAAACTCCCATAGTTCATTGGGCCCATGCACTGGAGTGGTGCTCAAGATTGAAGGAATGCAGGTTCCTAAGCCATGCCTCACCCAGCCCAGGCTTAGTATAAGAATGAGTTAATGAATCAGACAGTCCATTGTGATGCTCTCCGTCCTTCACCTGTCGTGTCTCCTATAACCCTTGTCTAATTGTGCTATGGGTGAAGTCCCAATCCCATTCTATAGAAATAAGCTCTTGAGATCTTAGGGTTCAGGCAAGAGCCCCTGCTTCAGGCTTTCCTCGCATGGCCTTGTCATAAACACACAAAACAGCTCTTCCTATCTGCTTTTCACCATGGAGACTTTGCCAAAGGACCACAACCGGAAAGAATCATGGATACACTTCCACCTGGGTTTTCTGACTCTAAATCTCGTTGTTTTTTCTATTGAATTTTAGGACAACTTCCTCTAGTCAAGGCTTATTATCATTGTTTCTTGCTTTCTTCATTTCTAGTCCCTTCACTCCACCATGGGTTCTATTCTAATGCATTTGTGCATGTCATACATGGATTCCTAGAACAGTTCTGGAGGTTCAAAGCATGGCGCTGACATCAGCTCCCTTCTATTGAAGGCTTCATGGGGCATGGTGTCACAAAGAGGGTGTGTGCCAAAGGAAGAGATCACATGGTGAGACAGGAAGCCAGAGGGGGAAGGAGGCACCAGTCTTACTCTATTTTGTAACAACCCCTTGTATTCCCCTTGCGAGCACTGAAGGTCCCAGGAGTAGCGACCCCAATGCCCTCTGACTAGGCTCCACCTCATAAAGGTCCCACCACCTCGCAACATCGCCACTCTGAAGATCAAGCTTCCAACATATGAACCTTGGGGGACACTCAAACTGAACCCAAATAATAGCAATCCAGTGCTATGGGTACACCTGGTATAAATGAGGGACCTACCCTTTCCCTGCCATAGGTCCTCCCCTGTTTCCTTTTCCTGTGCCTGGTTGGTGGACCCTAGGTTAAGTCAGCCTGGTTTTGTGAAGAACACTTCACACCTGTACCCATGAACTGTGGGAGAGTTTCTCTGGTTTGGACCCAGCACTGACGTGGATGAGTCATAGTGCACATGCACACCTAATTTCACAAGTGCTGCCAGATTGTTTTCCAGAATGACTACACTGACTTACATTTCCACCGGCTATGCTCAGGGGTTTCTGTTTCCCCGTGACTTCCCCAGCACCTGGTATGATCAAAAGTATCAGAATGGATGCATTGATAACACGACCATGTTAGGGCACTGGGTTCACCCTTCTGCTGTCAACCTTGCCTTGCCATGATAGCATCTGGAGCAAAAAGAAGAATCAGGCAAAGAGATCCTTTTTACCTCAACTCTCCATCTCTGTTAGGAAGGAAAGTTTCCCCAGAAATCCCCAGGATATTATTCTGTGTCTCATTGGCCAACCTGAGCCAGTTATCTGCCTGCCCAGGCTCTGTCAGTGATGACAGAGTTGCTACGGTTGTGTCAACCAGGGCTGACTCTGCTCCTTGCCATCTGCAGGAGACTCTTGGTATCTGCGGGTCTGTGGTTCCAAGGAGACTGCCATTGAGGAAGACTGCATTCTCAGGACGCATAGAGGTCAGTGCTATCCTGTGGATGCCTGATTCATTTCCCATAACACCACCCAACTTCTGCTGAAGACCTGCCACCTTTCAACAAATCTCAAATTGTCACTTCATCATTTTAGTTAAGCTCACTAACTTTTGCCTTGCTTTTTGGGCACCATTTGCTTTTTTGGAGGCAGATTTTTTCACAAAATGAAGGATAAGAAACACTGAGCTGATCACACAGTGATTTAAACACAACTGACAGTACCGTGGGACTGACTGAGCATTTCTCTCCATCTACTGAGCTGCAGAGCACATGCATGAAAATGTAAATTTTTCTTTTAGAAATTTCTTTAGATTTTTTGAAAATTTCATTATTTTGTTTGACCATGCTGGTCAAAACCACCCATAATAAATCTATACCTCTTTTGAGCACATTGCTGTCTGCCTTAAACCTCAACAGAACTGGAAGTATTTTAATAAAGAAGGAGGTGTGGATTGGCTACTCAGCAACAAATAACCTACTCCGGGTTTACTTTTGCCAATTTTGAGTGCATCCTGCCTCTTTTATACAAGGGATCTTCCCCAGATCTTCTCAATTAGCTGTTTTCAGAAAAGTTCAAAGGGGTGAGTTAGCCTAGATGTACCAATCCCCTGGAGATTAGATCGGTCCAGCTCATTTTGGAAATGATCATTCTTCTTGCCAGGCAGATGTCAGACCTGTTTCCACCCCAGCTTCTCCAGCTTAGGTTTCTGTGGACTCCCCACAAGAAAGGACTTCAGAAAGATTTAAAGGGTAGAGCACCACAGCTCCAGCCCTGTGCCATGACTCCAGTGCCAGCTGAGGACAAGGGGGTGATGAACAACTGTCTGGAACAGTGCTTCTGCAGGCAGAGATTTTTCCCTTTTCACCAGCCCTGGGGATGTTCCAGCAACCCTTGTGTTTCTGCCTAACCAAAGAAACTAATTTTTAAGTGATACCCAATAGTAACAATAGTTCCTTCTTCATCTAATAGAAGTCTCCTGACAGCCCTCCCAGAGGATGTGTGTATCATGGTCACAGTCCAGACTTCAATCAGACCACTGCAGAGCCTTGCTTCTGACACTTATTAGTGGTGTGGCATTGAACAAGTAACTTAGCTCTTCTGCTCCTTGGTTTTGTCATTTGTACACCAAAAATAATAGTGCTGTGTCACAAGTACACAGTAGGTTAGGAGACATAAAGAGCTTAGAATTCGCTTGATAAATACAAGCTGCAGTTGTTGCCATTTTTAAAAATGAAGGAACACCAGGCAGCTCTGAGTAGTATGGCCATGATTTGAACCCCAGGCTGTTTGATTCCAGGACCAGGCTCTTGCAAATCTGGCTCCCCATCCATGGCCGTCAGTATAGTGCCTGAGGGAGTGTTATGATCTCATCAGCAGGAGAATAAACTGCCAGCTGAATTCAGCCATACCTTTTGTAAAGAGTCTCTAAACAACAACCACAAAGATACCATGTAATGCTTCTATCACTCAAACAGCTCCAGTGGCCACCTAATGTAGAAGCACATACCTGGGAGATGGTCCAGGCCACTCTTCAAGAGCACCTGTAAATGCAGCTTCTTTGTCAGGAATAGTTGGTGCACAGGGGATGCTGCTGTTCTACAGACTCATTTTGAGTGGCAAGGACTGAGTCCTCCTTTCCACCTTCCTTGCATACCACAGAATGCTTCACACTGTCTAGAGTATCAGATGGATGGTACACACAGTTCATCTTCCTCAGTCTCCTGGAAGGCTTGGAATTTATGATCTTTTTTTTTTTCTAGATGAGAAAACTGCTACTCAGAGATGTTAAGTAACATACATTGCTGAGTACCAAAGATGGAAGTCCACATGCTAAAGGAAGTTCCAGGTCAAATTCAAACTCTGTGAGCTGATAGGTGAGTGTGGTCTTCCTAGAATGGCACATGCTCTGTGTTGGTAATGAAAGGATTGGGTAGTCAGTGACCTCTTCTCTCCTCTCCTGCCCCCTCTCCCCTCCCGTCCCCTCCCCTCCCCTCTCCTCTCCTCTTCTCTTCCCTTTTTTTAATCTTTGAGATTCTAATCCTGTTTTCTTTGTTTCAGGAGACTGTGATATACTTAATGCAGGTGACAGACCAGCAGTGTCATTGGCCCAGAGGGAATTGAACTCTTTTTCCAAAAGATTTAGAAGATACACTAAACTGGAAAATGACCTGGAAACTTGCCTCAGAGGGGAGAACATGATCCCTCCCCTTCTTATCCCTGTCTTCTCTCACCCAGGATGCATTTCACCAATGATTTGGTCACTACTGAGCTATCTTCATTTAATGTGATTTTGTCAGAATCATTGGTTAAGAAGTTTTATTTTCATTTAAACTTACTTGTTGAACAACCTTGGATTTGAAAAGATTCTGTTAGGATGGCTGGTTATACAGCAGTTGCTACAAGGAGATACCTGCACTCAGTTTCAAATTTTCCTCTCTAAACCTATGCACGGCCATCTTCTTCTCACACTAAAGGTTTCCCAGCACTTATTTTTGGAAACCCAAATCAACAGCTGTTTTGGTGAAGGCCATTTCTAGCCTAGCAGAGTAAACCAAATATAATATCCAAAGAATCCTTGCCTTTAAGGAATAACAGAACCACCTGTTTGTGGGGTTAAATGCTTGGGAATTGCAAATTTTGTCCTTGTACTGTGATATTTCTTTGAAAACTCAAACTAACATCAAAGACAGTGGAAGTTCCTTTAAAATTACAGACTTGTCCATTTGCAAACATGATGTCACAATCATGGCATTTCAAGATGGCAGTCATTGCATAATTTATGGTGACCCTGTTTTGGCTACTGGAATCCCTGTGAAAATGGAGGTCACTTTCTTTATTTTTGTACTTTGCCCAGTTTGAACACAGGTTTATGGTCAGGGCTGTACTTTCACCTTGTTTCATGTCTGGCACATAGTAGGTGCTCAAATAAGGAAATGAACAGATAAATCCTTAAAATCCTATTTCTTTCTATTGTCTCTCTTTTTTAAATGTTAATCTTTTGTTAAATGAATGCATTCATCTTGAGAACAAAGAACTTTTTGAATAAGGTGAAGTTTTTTAACTCTTCATATCCATTCCTTGGCTTCTTCGTTGTCTGTTTAGGTAGCATTTTTTATCATGTTGGCACACCTCCTTGCAAACCTTTTAAATGCACTTATGCCCACACACATATACAGAGAACTCTTTGTAGATTTGTAATAGCAGATTATTCTGCAATCTACCTTATTCCACTTAGCATCTACCAAGAAGTGCAATCCATGTTAGCTATCTCTTTTTTAACTGTTACATGGTTTTATGACACTGGGCAGATTTGCCGCCTTTGATTTGGACAAAATAAATTCTATATCTTTTTCAGTCATTATACTACTAGGTCCTTTCTTTTGTGGATGTTGCCAAACTAACCTCATCCACTGCTATCTTTTGGTAGCTACACTACATTTCAGCAAAATCAAGTTATCTGTCTTGGAGGTTAGAATTATGTGAAATTCTAAGGACTGCCAGAAGGACCAAAATTCCTTGTCCTCAACCTAGGGAAGTGCACTGTGCCCTGGAAATTCCACAGTAGTGGAGAGTGACAGGACATCAGCTCTTCCCAGAGCTTGCTGGGTGTTTCTGGCGGTCATTTCCTTCCCTGGACTTGTTTTTCATCAGCACATGGATTAAGGGAAGTCTCTTTAAGCTGTTAGACTGAATAACATAATTTACACAGAACCATTGGAATGGACATATAGAACCTACTGTTAACTCTCTCTCCCCTGTGTGTTAGAGTAAAGAAAGGGGCCCCAGCTCAGAGCTCTTTGCTGAGACAGTGTCCCAAAGAGTCCTTGATTGACCACAAAAGTATTGCCTCTGAATTTTATTCTTCTTTCTTAGAACTTTGCTATTCATTTCAAATGAATTTTATTTTAATTTTTGCTTACTGTGGTCTTTTTGTTCTAAGAGAGGCAATATGGTGATGAGGAAAAAGATCATGGACCCCTGAGTTCTGCTTCAGGTCTGTCTAATTCCAGTTGTGTTCACTTTACATTCTTTGGTCCTCCATCTCTGAACAACATGATTCCATATTACCCAGGTATTGAGTAAAATAGCATTAAGACATTGAAAACCATGTCCACTGTGGGTGTTTTACCTGGTATTTCTGAGCCTTTTGTCACCCGCTGATAGGTCATCTCATGAACTGGTGAGGCATCCTAACAGACCACCAAGACCATGAAATCTTCTTTCATAGAACTGTGTAGATACCAAGGCCCCATGTAACACAGGCCAAGCCCCTTCAGAGAGCTCTGAAAGAGGCTCAGAGAAGGTTCTGAGCCACCATGATTCACAGGTGGGGTTTTCTCCCGTGAGCCCTGGGGCCATGTAGCAGGAGGGTAAAGGACATAGGGGATTCCCCTGCTTTGCCACTCAGGACCACAGGGGTCACAGGGTGTGATTCACACGCCTGTGATGGGTCTCCCTGAGGTCCTAGTCAGGCTTTCTCACATGGGGGAAGAGCTTGGGCCCCTGGCCTTGGCATTGCACGTGATCTGGAGACACGGAGCGTTTCTGCTGGTGAGAAGTCAGTGTGAGTGGGTGTGAAAGCTGCTCAGGGGTCAGAGCCTGGCAGACTCTGGGACTTTGGAGTTCCCGGCCCCAGCACCTTCATGAACTCACACATGCCATACAAACACTCTACCACTGAGCTATGTCCCAGCCTCACCAGTCCCTCCTAATGCTCCTGCCCTGAGCTTTCACATTCTTTGGTTCCCACAGGAATGAGCCTGGAGTCCAGGATGCTTTTCGCTGCTGAGCTCCTACAGGCAGGCACTTCACCTCCCCCAGCTCTGCTTCTGGCCTGCTGGGTTTTCATCAGCAGATATGGCGCTCTGCTCAACCTGTTCCTTCCTTCCTTCCCTTTCTTATATGAAAAAAAAAAAGTAATTTCACAGGCACTGAATGTTCAAAAGCCCACCGTGAATGCTTTCCACATTTACTAAAATAAAACACAAAAGAGCCACAAAGAATGGGGAGAATATCAATGGCAAGGTATACATGGACAATTGGTATAAGTAAATTAATAATACATAAAAATAAGTAAAAGAGATGGTGGTTCATGTGCTACACATTTTCCAATAGCTGTTTTCATTTTAATGAAATAAATGCATGTTTGGCATGCCACCGTTGTAGGGTATGTCTCATTGTCACCTCCCCTATATTTGATCCTCCTCCTGGTCATCAATACATCCTCATTCACAGCCTGGAAACTTTCAGAAATTAGTCAACCTACCCTGTTCATAGGTCCTTGATCTGAAATGCTTGGTGCTGCTGGAGTGCAGTGGGGGAAAAGTCAGAAATAAGTTCCCTGACACCAAAAGTCAGTCTAAGTTACCACACCTGGGAGAGGAGAGTTTGGGGTGAGAAGGGAATTGTGTCGGCCCTCCAGGAGCCGCACTGTGGAGGGACATTTGGGGTGACCACACATTTAGGGTTGCTGGTGGAGTTTCAGTTTATGCCTGCTGTTCCACACCCTTTGGTAGAAAGCGCAGGTCTCCACTATTAAAAATGCTACAACCCGTAAGATTTTGGGTTCAGGGGGAGACCAGCCTGGGAGTCCTTCAAGGCCAAAGCTCACTTTATCCTGTATCTATCGCCAGTGTTGGCCTCCTGAAAAGAATTAGTAAATTAGCAATTGATTGAGACAGTTCTTAACCTCTTCTGTTGCTCACTGAGTTTCTGTTTCCCATTAATCTTTGTATGCTCAAAGGGCCACTGGTGACACTACTGCATCTTGCAAAGTATCTTGCAAAGAAGCTGGAGCTTCAGAGGCAATCATTTCCATTGCCCATGAGCAGTTTCATGCCACCTAGCTTTGCAGCTACCTCTGAGTTGTCCCAAATCAGTAATATGAAGGACAGTGGCTCCTAAGAAATGGTGGGGGAAGAAGGTGGTGTTGTGTCTGTTGTTAGCTGTCTGGCTACCCTACCTGTTCTTGTCTCCATCAGCCCAGGACTGAGACCACCTCCAGACTTCTTGTTATGTGAAACATCTTTTGATTAGTTATGTCACTCTAAATTGACTCGTCTCTTACTTCCACCTGACCACATTTCTAATAAATATTCAGATTTTTAGCAAAGTATGGTGCTGGGCAGCCAGAGTTCCTGGGTTCTGATCTGGGATCTGCTATGTGACCTTGGGCAAGTCACCTAGATTCTCTGACTCACTTTGCTCATCTGTGTAATGCTCCATAAATGTGAATTGAATATTGGAGGAAGAATAATGGTGCTGCTAAACTAATGATTTCTGAGCTTATTAAATGACTAAACACTTCATAAGTCAGTTACAACATTGCCTGACACATAGTAAGTGGTTGTAGATATGTTTGTCAAAGCGAAATTAAAAGAAAAGTAATTCTTATTACAAGCTTGAGTTTGCACCTCATCCTTTCATCAGGCCACTATGACTTTAATCAGAACCTTAACCCTTAAGCTACTGAGACTCACGGAGCATGAAACTCTCTGAAACATGGTCTCAAAGCAGCCACACTGGTGGTTTCTTTTTGACATAAAAAGTCTCCTCAGAGAACTGGCTTGTCAAGAAGGGGCTGTGACCACCAAGTCGTATCACCAACTGAATGACTTGAAATACCCAAACTTGCCCATGCAAATGGGCTTGGGTCTCTCTTGGAAGCCCCTTTAGGGAGCTTTAGAGTTCTTTTTTTAAAGGGTCTTTCCAGTTAGTGGCTTTTTCTTTCAAATCACCTCTCATCTTTCTTGCCAGGGGCTGGGGCTGAGGGAAATCAAATGCCTGAGTTCCTGCCCATTCTATGCAGTGGGGGACCAGATCCCTGGCTAGTATGAGGGAGCTGGTGTGGCCTAGGCTCTCATTTCCTGCTACTCAAATGGCCACCCTCTGGAGAGGTCACTTTCAAATTTGAGCAACAACTAAGCATTCTTTTGAAATAGTCCTTGTTCATGGGTTAAAGTATCAACTAGTAGGTGTGTCCATTAGCAAATCTTGGGGAAACTCCCTCCCCTCCCCCTTCTTACCCTCTCCACCAACTCTTCAGACTAAGCAGCACCACCTTCTTCAGCCTGGACTCCTTCCTACTCCTTCCCTATCCTTCCTTCCCTATCAGCAGTCAGGAGCCTTTAAAAACGTAAACCAAGTGAGCATGTGCAGTGGCTCACACCTGTAATCTC